ATGAGAGGCTGAAGAAAGAGAAGGACGAAGTCCTTAAGGGTGCTGAGCTGGAGAAGAAGAAGGCTGATGAGCTGGAGAAGAAGAGTGCTAAGCTGGAGAAGAGTGCTAAGCTGGAGAAGAGTGCTGAGCTGGAGAAGAACATAAGAGATAAATAAAATCAAATCTCTGTATATCAAAAAAGTGGGATTGAAAACTATGAGATTGCAGAAATAACAAGAAAAGAACTAGACCATACACAAAGAGAAAATGAAGAACAAAAACAATTAATATCAAACCAACAAGAAAGTATCGAAAATTTTTTATCCCAGAAGGAACTGAAGAAGAAGAAAACAATGACACTATTGATAAATACACAACCAATACTGAGAACATCATCATCTGGGACAATACAAATGAACAAAACTACCCCTATGAAAAAGACAATTCTGGAAATAGAAGAAGAAGAGAGCAAAACACTGAATATCAAAAAACAAGAAATGATAATCAATCAAGAAGAGAAGAAAACACAACAAATCAAACAAATAGAATTTTAATTGATGCATTGTATTGTTTTGAAATTAATTTGTTAAATAAGAAATTAAATAAGAAATTAAGATGGGAACAAATAGAAGCATAATAAAAATAATAAATAATAATGTAAATAATGAGAAAGAATACATTAATAATATTAAAAAGTCACATAGAATAAAATAAATAACTAAGATATATATTAAAATGAAAATAAACTCAATCATAGAAGGGAAAGTAGAGTGTAATCCAATAATAAAAAACATTATCATAAAAAATAACTCTACTGATATTGATGATGAATACCTTAACTCTATCATCATTCAAGTTAAAGAAATGAAAATAGATAAATGTGTAAATATTAATTACTACTGGAAAAGGAAAGAATCAGATAAATTAATAAGAGAAATAAATAATAAATGGGTATGGTCAGCAGAATAGAAAATCTGCAAGAAGATATGAAAATGATTTCAATTTGTATGCATTATTATCTCTAAAATAAATTTAAATGAGATAAATTTGATGAAATAAAAGAAATCCTAAGGAAAATAAATAGATTAGAAGATCTAATCAATGGAATGATACAGAATAAAATGCATCATGAGATTAAATGAACGAGATGCAGATGAAATTAAAATTAAATCACTAGAAAGAATAAAGTACATAAAATATATGATGACAATGATTAAAGAAAGAATTAAATTTAATAAGAATGAAAATGTCAGAATCAATACAAATAAAATCATGTTTGATTCTAATAACAAAATTAAAATAAAGAAGAAAGACCCACAAAATGAAATATACCCAATTAACGATATTATTTTAGAATATTTGAAATCGTTATATGAAACACAGGTGATATTAAATAAGGAACATTTGAAAATAAAACAAATCACCTCGTGGAATGAAAGATACAGGAATTATGATAGTGTCATCATCACATTGGATGATTTAAATCTAAGCCTGATGAAAATAAGTAATTGGAAAGCACCAGGTATTGACACTATATATGGGTATTATTGGAAGAGAATGTCATCATCAAGAGATTCCATTCTTAATATCTTCAATGATTAGTTAAACTTCAATGAAAACATCCCTCTAGATATGGTAAGTGGAAGAACTATACTAATCCACAAAGGAGGTGATAGGAACGATGTCACTAATTATCGTCCTATCAGTTGTACAAATGTAATAATGAAAGTATTTACCTCCATATTGAAAGAGAAGATTCATAATAGAATTAATATGAATAGTGAATCATTAAAAATTAGTAAAAATCAATTGGGATGTAAACTGCAATCTCTTGCTGCTAAAGAAGGATTAATTAATAGTTATATGTTAAAGCAGCAAAAAGAAGAGAAATACCCAAAATATGAAGAATCATATTATGACATTAAGAAAGCATATGAATCAGTAAATCATGAATGGGTAATAGAAACATTTAAATATTTTAATGTAGAGGGTATCATCATAGACATTGTAGAAAGTATGATGAACAGATGGAAGATATTCATAGGATACAAATATAATGAATATCTAGGATGTATTAAATTGATGAATTTTACAATGTGATTCATTATCATTTCTACTCTTCATCATCCAAATGAATATAATTTCCCATTTCATAGAAGAGAAGTTCACAAAATCAAACCATACATTGTATATGGATGAATTGAGAATAATGACACAAATAGTGAAGAAATGGGAACAATCAACAATGAAATTAAAGAAATAATAAGTGGAATAGGGATGGAAATGAATGAAAAGAAATCAGGAATGGTATTAAAGAACATCAAGAAAATACCAGATGGAATGCAAAACATCCCAATAATTGAAGGAGAGGACTTGTATAAATATTTAGGAATATGGCAGTCCGATGAAATTAATGATACCTTCAATTGTAAAATCATCAAAGAAAAGATGATGAAGAAATTGGAAGAAATAAATACTGATGAATGTAGTAATAGAAGATATAATACAAGAATTAATATTGAAGTAATACCCATCTTCAGATATTCAGCATCAGTAGTAAATTGGAATGTAACTGACCTAGATAGAATGGATTTGGAGATAAGAAAATATTTAAGAAAGGCAAAATACATTGGTGCCGGTAACTCCAAAGACCGTCTATATGTCCCTATAAATGAAATGGGTGAAGGATTAATAAGCCTAATGGACGAATATGTTAATGAAATAAATAGAACAGTAATGTACTATTGTACAAGAGTGAAATAAGAAATAACATAATAGATAGATGGTATTCCAAGAAAGGAATATTGAATAGAATTAAAAAAGCACTAAGTCATAAAATCACAGAAACGAAAATAGAAGAAATAATAAATGAAGTGAAAATAAAAAAGAAGTAGTATTAAAAATAAAGAAAATAATGACCAACCAATACATCAAAAAATTGAAATCAAACAAGTTGACATTTTAGAAGATGATTCAATTCAAAATTTATAGATAAAACTACTACAATCAATGCATGGAAGTCCATCAATATAAAGAAAAATTCATTTCTCCAATTAACTAAAATACAAGATGGAGCAATATTTAGTGTGTATAGGAAAGATAAAATATTAAAAAATGAAAGATTAAAATACTGCAAACTTTGTAAATACAAGATAGTAACAGTAGAACACATTCTACTATCTTGTATTTGTCATAAGAAATCACAAATTGAGAAACATGACAATATTGGCATCATCATATGGGAGGGGTTAATAAGAAAATACACAGGAAATAAACAATACAAGAAACCCCCATATGAAACAGTGTTCCAATACAATGACATCACTATGATATGGAACAAACAAATAATATCAAAAAGTGAATGATAATATCATAAAATACCAGATATATATGTACTAGATAAAAAGAATAAAACTGGTCTAATAATTGATATGACTATTGTGGCAGATCATAATATTAATGGAGCTTATTGGAATAAAAGAAATATGTATAAAGAATTAAAAAATAAGGTAATGAAAATAGAGAAATTAAAGGATGTCAAAATAATTGGAGTAGTAATTTGGATTAATAGAGGTAGTAAATGCTGAAAGTATTAAATTAATCAAACAATTAAAAATCGAAATTGACATCACTAAAGAAATCAAAAACTTTTGTAATAAAGAACATGATGGACGTCATGGAACACTGTTTCTACCACAACCAAACATATGCTGTGGAACTACAAGACGAAGACTCACTGACGGGATTAGTCTCCCCTGAGGCAGGAACAATAGACACAAGTTCTATTAACACTTAATTAATTGCTTTTTATTATTAATTTCTCTTATATTCTTTATCTTTATTCTCTTTATTCTTTATTTTCTTTTATTAATATTATTTTCATTGATTAATTATATATCATCATTTCCTATTTGATTAAATAATAAATGATATATATTTCATTTATATTAACATTGTATTTATTATTTTATATTTATAATCATAATAAAGAATTATATTTAATTAGTAATATCACCTTCATTAATTATTATTTATATTTCTAATATCTATTCATTATTTCTTAACATTTTCATATTTAATTATAATAAATCAATTATATTTATTTTAAAATAAAAAGAAATATAACAATAATGATAATATAATAAATTATATGAATAATTGATATATTAATATTTAAATACATCATTACAATTACTTTTAAATATGATAAAAAATACAAATAACAATCTAAATTAAATAATGATAATATTTAATAACATTAATTTAAATAAATAATTATCATTCAAATTAAAATAAAAATGAAATATAAATATAATAAATAATAACAAATAAATAATAAATAATATATAAATGAAACATTCAATTTTATTTAATAAAATAACTAATTAATGATAATATTCATCATAAAATAACTATTAACAATATTTATTCTATAATAAATGATAATTTAA